CAGTTTTTGACGGTTAGGTAAGCACTTGCTGGCGGGAGATATGCTGCTGTCCCTCCTGCAGATGTCTTTGTACTGTATGAGTGCAAAGAGAGAGCCTTCGCAGTATGTCGCTGCAGATAATGGCTTCTAAGAGGAGAGCTGCTGCACTTCTCGCCTCCTTGCATCCAGAGGCGGATTTAGGATTGTAGGAGATCCGGGGCTTAGCCCAGGAGTCGTTGGGTTGGGGGGGGGGGGGGGTGCAGGGGTACAGTCAGGGCCGCCACTGGCCAACTTGGGGCCCCAAGCGACATTGTGAGATGAGACCCCCCCCCAACCGACAGGAGTGAAACACATTATTTTGGAAACAAAGTAGGCTACTTTGCAAATATAATTCCTGTTTATTATTAGTATCAACACAGTTACTTTTGTATACAGTGAGGTAAATGGTAAATGTGCATTTATGTCTGCATTTCCTGCCAAATACTAGCCTCAAAAAGATTAAAATATAATGAATGCAAATAAACTACTTCTACTAATAATAATAATCATAATCATAATCAATAATAATATAAATACTATATTATTTTATTATAATTTAATTTAGTTGTAATATAGTCAAGACAAAACATGCTTATGACATACTCAAAAACTGATATTTCTTAAATCTGTGTTCAAACGTAGTTCCCTCTGTCAGCAATGCATGAACAACTACACACACATTTCTATCAGTATTTCTCTGTGTTGTGGTTGACATGATGATGACTGTTAGGAGTTAAGGGGAGAGGCTGAGCATCACCATGAAATGTGCAAATTGACATAAAAATGAATAAAAGGGGAAAAAATGCTCCATGTTTTTTAGGCTGTAAACTTTAACTGTTATGTAAGCCAACTAGACAGACAGTGTATCACTCTTCCTCCTGTACATTAGCAGATAAAAGGCATCACATACTTGAATGAATGTTAAATAAAGAATGCTGGAAATAACTGCATCTCCATTAGCCTATATGCTATGCAGAGACTGCCTTCTTCATGTCGTGAATTGCAGCTGATGTTTTAATATGGCAATTAGCTATTTGACTTATACAACATTCGCAAGTTGTACATTTGACTCATACAATAACCCACCTTCGAGTGATGCTCTAGTTTCTTCATGGTTTGTTTTTTGCGCCGGACTGAAACTGTCTTTTCACCGACATCTCTTCACCTGCACTAGTGGCCGTATCAAAGCCGTGATTGGTCAGATGTCGATTCATTGCAACGGTGTCGGGTTACAGACGTGCTCTCCTTCTCACCTCTCACTCTCGCGGGGGGTGCGCGGAGAACTGAGCAGAGAACTGCGCACAGCAGCTGAGGCCCTCTGGGCGGGCCCCCCTGCGCAAGGCGGGGCCCCATGCAGCCTGCGTGATTGGCCTGTAGGGAGGGGCGGCCCTGGGTACAGTGCTATTTTTTATAAGTGGGGGGTGGACCAAACATCCTTTAGGGGGGTCGTCTGTCGTGTGTGTGGAAATAACGGGGACAGAGTTGCTGTCAGACGAACAGCTGTGCGGCGTCATCACAAACGGACGTCGCTTCACGTGACGCTCCGGAGGAAAGGACGTCCCATTGCTCTTAAAACTCATTTCCCTGCTTCTCGTGGTTTCCTTGCGTCCCTCCATGCTTCCCTGGTGGGAGGGACTGGACGCAGGGAAACAACGCAAGTGAGGGACGCAAGGAATCCATTTAACCGAAGTGAAACGCAGCCCAAGTTCAAAGCTGCCGCCCAGATTAACATACCTAATGGCAGTTCATATGCTCAAGGAACTAATGTGACATTTTAATTCTTCATGAACGAGAGCTGATGGATCAGCAAAAACTCCCTTGAGATACATTAGCTGATCACCTTGGTGGCACTTTTTCTGCTTTGGTTGCGGATGATAAAGTGTGCTAATTTCAGATCATATTTAATCCAAAACCAAACTGTATTCTGAGTGTAGTTGATTGTTATCAAAACATATCCTAGGGATGGGCAAATAATTATGATTTTTAATACAGTCCAATGGTTACTCAAGATTGAGAACTGACTGGCAGTTTGATTGGCACTACTTCGTCTTAGTGTCATAGAAAAAGGTAACATCTATTTGGGGATCTTATGGGTATTGGTAGATGCCAAAGCTGACAACATTTGAATTGCATTTGGGTGAAAGGTTTTTGATCATCAGTTTAGGAGTTTTGATATTATTTAACCTTTCTTAAAAAGGCATGAATACAGTATATTAAAACATTAAGGCGCTATTTTAATTGCAACCAGTTTATACACACATTTGCCATTTGAATTGGTCCATTCAGGCTGGTGTAAAAAAAAAATCACAATCCAACTCCGACCAGACCGAAAAAAACAGATCTCTGAACAGAATCTGCCCAAAAAGTAAGATCTGATTCCAATTGGACTTGCATGACTCCAAATGTAGATCCACAAATAATTCCATTCGCTGATTGAAACTGTCCAGACAGAAAAATGTATGAACAATCAGTATAATTATGTCTGATTTAGTAACCATGATATACCTTATGCAGGTTAGACAGAAATGTGTTGTGTTTTTGTCCTTTTTCATATAATTCCTAAAACACAGAAACTATGGAGCTTTTTTATCCTTTGTATACCTGTCCATAATTGCCCATGACATTTGAACATTTTGGTAAAGTTTCTTAAAATAAACTATGTATCATGTAAAAAATGATCAACTAACATGGAAAGTGAGCTAATTAGTCAATTCCTTTTTTCGCCGACTATTATTATTATTATCTCATTGTTGACCCTCTTTCTGATTTACTATGATTTGTTTTGAAGGTATTCCTTGAAACTGATGTGTTAAACAACTAACCATGTTAACCCCAATTGTCACTTGGAACTCACATTATTATATTTTTATTTAACTCAAATGAAAAATGTCATATTTTAAGATGATCCAAATTCAGTCTACAATTTCAAACCAAGTTCTCCCACACTACACCGCTCCTCAGCTCCCTTCACTGACTGCCAGTGGCTGGCAGAATCCGCTTCAAGACACTGGTACTGGCCTAGAGAGCTGTGAGGGGATCAGCCCCTTCCTACACCCAGGCCTTGGTTAAACCAGACACTCCAGCCCGTGCACTACGCTCGGCTTCAGCCAATCGGCTTGCTACTCCATCACTGCGAGTCAAAAACACGCCTGTTTGCTATCCTTGCTTCTAAATGGTGGAATGAGCTCCCCATTGACATCAGGACTGCAGAAACTCTGCATATCTTCCGTCGCAAACTGAAAACGGACAGCCGTTTGTGTGTGGTATGCATCAAGAAAACACAGCAGGAGAATAACAACTACATAAAAGTCTTGGCAACAAGCATCAAATTTGTCGCCACAAATATAAAAGGAATCGGTTACCTTCAGCGGTTCAGCCTGCGTACTTTCCCTACACGCTTCCTTTTTTCTAACCTTGACCTGAACACCCTGCTAACTGAATCACATTAACATGGAGAACAGGAGCGCAGAGCACTTATGAGTTTGGAATTAGTTTAGCTCAAACTCATTTCATCAACTTTGAGGAGTCAGCTCCCTGAAGTGTACTTACTCTCATAGCAGCAACCTAAACTCTGACACAGAAATAGACCCGCAGCAGATAGATGCCCCCCCACAACCACGCCACCTGTGGTGGTGAGGTGAGGTGACGTGCAACAACAACATTAACATTAACCTTTCTGTTGGTCGATTGTGAGCAGACCCTTCACGCGATGGCAGAGCGAACAGGTACAGGCAGGGCCGGACCGAGACAATAAGTCAGGCCGGGAATTATACACCCAGCCAGGCCACTACCAGTTTTTCTTTGTGCCATTTTGCTGGATTTATTTGTCAATATTTACAGCGTTGCTGCCCATAGTGATAGCCCTATAGTTTAAATCTACTACCCACAAATAATTATATATGGACATGGGTTACTATTTAAATACAATTGTAAATGTATTTAGGAACCTATCCATGTGATTTTAAGTGGGGGTGGACCTCAAATCCTCTAGGGGGGTCCGGGGGCATGCTCCTCCGGTAAGATTTTTTCTTTTTTAAATGTTGGAGTTAAATGCATCAATCTGGTCTATTTTGAGGGGGAAATAAAGAGACTAGATCTATGGGAACACCTATATGAAACAGAACTGTATACATTTAAATAATCATAAAATCATGGCCATAACCAATAACATACCATTTCCAATATGAAAAAACACTGAAACTTGTTTATTTATGTATTTTTGGTTCATTTATAGTTGTGAGTGTGTCTGGGCTCCTGAATCAGCCTCACCTGTCTCCCCCTGCTCCTCTTTGAGGCAGCAGCAAAGACTAGTTTTAGCTCTCAACACGTTTTAAAAGTGTATCTTACCTTTTTTCACCTAGTTAACTTTATTTGTTTTAATTCATGCATATTTGACTAATCACTACCCCCTCAAATGGAAATATGTGTTCACATAAATGGTGACCAAACCGTTTGAGACCCAATGAGAACTTGGACTAAGTTAACTATCTAAACACTCAAAGAGTCCTTTACCACACCTGAGCTGAGGTTATCCCGAGCTTGAATGACACACAGAGACCAATCAAGGGCTTTGATTTATGATCTGTATGACAGTGGCCATGTGGGCAGGCCACATCATGTAGACAGCCAGTCACCCTCTGTGAGGCAGACCCACATTTGCGCAGCGTTGCGTTCACAGTACATTTTTATTTATTTTTAAAAAGGGTCGCGAAATATACTTGGGCGGCCGTTAATATACCTGGGCGGCCCGCCCAAGTAAAGTCTATGTGTGGGAAACCCTGATATTCTAAGGTGGTTGATTTAATTTTGAGAATTGGAACTCTAACAGGTGTTTGTTTGTTGAAATCTTTTTACAAGTTGGGAAATTGCAAAGAACATTTAAAAAATGTGAATGTTTTTTAGTTGTCATAACCCCGTAGATTTGCCCTCACCAGTTCCTCCACAGACAGACAGACAGACAGAATACTCGTGGGGTCTCTTACCTATGGTGTAGCCCCTCTTCAGCTCCCCACACCGGGGGCTGCGGCGCTGGGAGTTGTTGGTGTTGTTCTCCTGCACGGCCAGGACGGCTGTTGTCTTGGCAACAGTTGGTGAAGCCTTGTTGGGGGGTGAGGCTGGCACCAGGGTCGGAGAGAATCCTTGAGTGGCAATATCGACGGACTGTGACTTCTGCTTCAGTCTGCAGGAAGATAAGGAAACCATGGAAGCAGAACACGTTAATGTTATGTCTGTGCCATTGGGAATACACAGCGGTGGGAAATGTTGCGTGACCTTTAACGTGCAAAGGCAGACCAATCACAGACATTTGCATCTGGGGTTGTTGGTGTCAATGTGCAGTGTCACAGAAATGTAATCGGCCAAGACCATTTTTGCAGCGGCGGCAAGGAAGTTGGAGGAAAGAATCAATAGGCTAATCACACCCTTGTTAAGGGTGAATTCATTAGCATCGCTCGGCGCTCAGTGCTGAGCCTTCTCTGCAGTAAACAGGGATAAAGCTGCTGGAGAGACAGCAGGAGGAGAGAGGTAAGCTCCTGATGAAGACAAATCTCTGAGAAACAACCTGAATAAGAAATTCTGTAGCAAAGGTAAAGCAGCTTGTTGTGGTGAAAATGTTTAAGAAAAGTGCTTTAATTTAATCTTAAATAGACAACTATAACTTTATTTTCAGCTGTTTTAGCCACCTAGTCGCAATAGGCGCTTTCACACCAAGTACTTTTCCCAGGAATAGTCCCCGGAACTTTTATTTCCCCGGAACTATCTAGTAAATCACGTTCACACCGGAATAAGTCCCTGAGGGAGGATTACGCAAATGAAGCCGCTGACGTTTACTGGCAGGCCGCAAACAACTTCACGCCGTATACTGCCACCCGAAATCCCGGAGCCCCCCGTAGTCCGGGACTTTGGGTGGCAGTAAATCGCCACAAGCGCCAACACCTCCTCATCACTCCACCGATCCTACGTTTTATTTTGTGTTGCCATAAGTTAGTCTCTCTCTGTTTGTGCCCTGGGCTAATGCTAATAATGCTAATGCGAGGAAATAAAATGGCTTCACAAAAACTTTTCAGAGTTTTACGGGGCGTGGTTTGCAATTTGCCCAGCCAATCATACATTTGAACCTTTTTCTCCCCTTTTTAGTCCCCGCTCTCTAGCAGGGACTAAAAAGGGGTGAAAAGGTTCCCGAAAAAAAAGATATTTTTGGTGTGAACGCAACATCCCAGGATCTATCGGAACTATTTCTGGGAAAAGTACGGTAAAAGTACTCCGGTGTGAAAGCGCCTTATGACATCACCCATTGGTTTGAAGACTTCTGTTAAAGCCTTGAATTTGGCTTTTCGGCCTCCGCCATCTTGGTTTATGGTAATACTGAATTGACGAAGACTTAACACTAGCCATTCTCATCATTAGGAATCATTTTCCCAGGTAATATGTCAAATGAGAAGAAGGGTAACTTTTCCATAGACTTCTATACAAACGGATGAAATCAAAATCAAGATTATTTTGCATCACTTTAAAACATCTGCATGTTCAGGCAACCCTCTAAATCAGAGATCTACAGCAGCCCTACTGTACGTCCCTCGTTAGGATTACGCTTTCCAAATTGTAAATCTTTTTTGTGAGTTTCTAACAAGGTCAATAATCCGATTTCAAACCCTGTTGACACTATTTATAGTCTGCTTTCTTTTGCAATTTCCAATCGGGGTTTTTACATTCTGTATTTTTCTCTATATAAAGTAGTTTTCATTGTTTGAGTCAGACTTCACGACTCTCACACTGTAGTCCAGAAACAGCATTTCTTAATGAAATCACCAGTTTAGAATGAATGGTTTTCCTTGAACACTCTTCAGTAGGAAAAGGCTTTGGAACTAGAGTGCTGATGTAAAGTGTATCAAAGGCTGAGCTAGGTCAAATCAAATCTGCCTACGACAACTCCTCAAAGCCTATTAAAAGGTTGACCAGATCCTGGGTTTGCAGTTTATAAAAGACTCCACTGGGCTAATCTGAACAGGTAAACCAAAAACACTCAGCAGCAGGTCTATCCACTTACATGTGTTCTCATGTATAACACACCATAAAATGTACACCTCATGACAGAAAGGGAAAAAACAAGATCATATTTGGCCGCTCCTGTAAAAACTTGGAGTCAAATAAAGGGAGAAATGGCTCCTGGAACACTATCTATCTGCAAAAGTCCTGAAACAGCAATACGAGATTCCCAGCACTCCGCTCCCTCGCACACACTTTCAATCATTCCAGCAAAACTGCTGAAGCGAACACAATATTTTCTGGCCATTTCACCCAAGTGCCCATCCCCTGACGGACCAAAGCAGCACACATGACATAGTGTCTAACTGGCTAATGAAAATGCATATTCTCAATGGAAATGCTGTCTGTCACTGTGTGTGTATCCTTTTGAAATAGATTGAACCAAACAGTCCGGTGGAGGAGACGAACAGGGTAGACTGAGCTGTGAATAAACACAAGACAGAAATTATGTTCTGCTTCACAGTGTTCCAAAAAAAGTCTAAAATAAACACACTCGCTGGCCTTTTTCCTACGAATATATTTGGAAAAAAAACCCTCCCAAAAAACCCACAATCGACTCCGGTGCTCGTTAAAAGTGTTTAAAGGGGCCCTATGATGCTCATTTTCAGGTTTATACGTATTTTGTTCCTCTACTGCAGGGGTGCCCAACCAGTCGATCGCGATCGACCAGTCGATCGCGGGGAGATTCCCAGTCGATCGCGAGATGTGTCTAAAAATAGAACAACAATATTCTGTTTTATCGTTAATGTCCTATAACATAATCTTCCCGTGCCAGAATAATGCACTTGAACGCACCAAAGCTTTGTGATTGGCCGGCGTGACCCCATGGCACTATTTCGCTGACATGTCAACAGGAGTGACAGTCCGCACACACACAATCATGGCAGAAGAAAAAAAAAAATATATATATAATTTTCACTCCGAGTGGGAGGATGATTATTTTTGTATCTATTCCAATTCAAAGTCCATCTGTCTCATCTGCAATGCGAGCGTGGCTTTATCGAAGAAGGGTCATTTAGGAGCGGCATTTCAAAACAGTGCACAAACGCTACGAGACGGAATTCCCTCCTAATTCTGCCCGACGCTCCAAAAGGGGAGGGGCCTGAGAGCACAGCTAAATGCACAGCAGTCCATTTTCACCAGGCCCAACAACAAGAGCAAGGCTGCTACCATAGCATCTTATCGTGTCAGTCACGTTCTTGCGAAACACATGAAGTCTTTCAAAGACGGCGAAGTTGTGAAAGAAGTATTCCAGGAGGCTGCCGACGCGCTTTTTGGGGACAGTAAAAATAACAGAAGCAAGTTTTTGATATAATAAAAACTCAAGTTAGATACCGTTATTAATCAGCTGTAAGTTTTAGTTTGTTTGAACGTATTTCATTATAATTATTGTACAAAATTGTAAAATAATGCAAACTTAAATTGATTATAGTCTATTATCAATTCAGGTTAAGAAACTAGTGTTACTTGCATCTTATTTTAAAGGCATTTCTTTTTATACTCTACTAAAATGCAACAAAAAAAGGGTTTGATTCTATTAATTTTGTCTTTTTTATTGCACTGTTGCAGCAGATTCCTGTGTAGCTTCAGATCTGAGTTGTCTTATTAGTAAGCCTAATTTATACTTTTGTAGCAACACTATTTTTATATAATGGCAAAGAAAGGGTTCAGTCTTTTCTTTTTTTCCTGTGTCATATGTGGCAGCACTGTTCAATGTTTCTTAAACATTACCCACTATGTGTGACGTATGTGACGTGTAAATAAACTCCAACTCCGTATCAACAACACTGTTGTGTGACTTCAGTTAAATACTTGTATGTGTGTAGATTAGAAAGAGGTAAAATAAAGGATCTGCAGTATTTTATGAAGTATTCATCGTACAAAGGTCAGTTGTATACAAGTAGAAGTGTAGGCTACTATTTACCTGGTTGTAGGCTGTCAGTAATGGCTACGCCTCTCTATTTGGACTGGTAGATCTCGGCAGACTGGCAACTTTAAAAGTAGCTCTCGGTTCAAAAAAGGTTGGGCACCCCTGCTCTACTGGGACATGTCTCCATGCTTTAATGTTCAAAAAGCTCTTTATTTTTCTCATACTGCCTGTGCTGCAGCAACTCTTTTCCCCCTCTGTCTGAAACCAGAGCCCAGTCTGCTCTGATTGGTTAGCTGGCCAGCTCTGTTGTGATTAGTCAATCGCTAAGAGATGTCCCGTGCCTTAGCCAATTACGTACAGTGTGTTGGATTGCTAGCCAAAAGAAGCACCAGTGTTACATAGCGATGTCACTATGTTACGGAAGTAAACAATGGAGTCCAATGGTGGAATATAGGGCCTCTTAAGATAAATACATATATTTTGCTTACTGATTTGCAGGTATTAAAAGTGTTCACTAAGTGACAGAAAGGCCGACAAAAATTAGTTAGTTATCCAGATTGTGCTAATTTTAAGGAAACAATCTGTTTATTTGGATGGAACATAATGAGGTTGGAGAATGAGTGAGAACTGCTGTTATTAGCTACGAAGGACGAGAGAGGGACAGAAAGAGAGACAGAGACACAGAGAGTGAGAGAAAAGGGGGGGGAGAGAGAGAGAGGGTGTCAAGCTGTGTGAAGTCTATCTGCGCTCCCTTAGGAGTTGGTACTAATTACTGTCTCATCAGTAGAGCAGAAGCCCCTCTCCTAGCTCTGTTTCACTGAGCTACAGTACAAGGCCAAACGGTATCAGTGAAATGGAAACAGAAGCAATGTCAATCTGCCCGAATGCTGCATCATTTACATAAACTGTGATTACAACTGTACAACAATATATACATATTTAGACATGTTATGCTCATTTTCAGGTTCATATTTTGAGCCTCTATGACATGTTTCCAAGCTTTAATGTCCGAGAAGCTCTCTATTTAAAAAAAAAAAAAATCATACTGCCTGTGCTGCTGCAGCACCACTTGTCACCCTCTGTCTTAAACCAGAGCACAGTCTGCTCTGATTGGTTGTTACATAGTCATAAATCACTATAAAAAAGAAGCATACCTACTCTTGTTATTAACATCCGCAGTGGACTCTAAATTGTAATTACTGACTTCACCTCTTCAATCTGGCTTTTAATGTGTGATTGTTTTTTTATTATTTGACTTTAACTTT